TCAGGGGATCTCGTAGTCGAGCAGTCTCGACTAGAGCTTTCTTTCTTGTTTTTACTAGTATTATTATCTTCAGAACGCATCAGTTGTTTATCGTTGGCTCTTTCCGGTTAGATCTTTTTCCCATAATGTTCTTATTCCGTATAGCTTGAGTAAGCCTGTTTAATATGCAATGAATTAGTCTAATATAAATACAAATACTAGTCAAATTACCTTTTATAAATTGAATTGAGCTCGTTCTTTTTCAGGACAGTCACAACAAAGATGACAATGCCCTGAGCTGAAGTGGGCACTTCGATCCACGTCATATTCAATTCCGAATCAAAACAAGACGTAAGATACGAAATCACTTCAAGTAGCCAAACAACTCCAGAAATGAGGAAAAGTTTAAGAAACACTTTAAAGCTTTAAAAATAATAATCAATACATTATTTTACCGAAAGTTTCGTGTCACGTACTTAGCACGATTCTTTGATTTTTGCATGTTTTCGGATCGCTTCCACATAGCTCGGGTCGTTTCGTTTTCCTTATATATTGTCCAAGCAGTCCGAACAAAAAGTCCTATATTAGCAAGGAGGATAACTAGCATAGGCCCATGATAAAATATCATTGCAGACCAGTCCGCAGCTATAAAAAAATAAGATCAAATCAGCCATTTGTTATAAAATCCTTTTTTTTTTTTTAAATGGATGTCTTTAAAAGAAATATTGTAAAATTGTACAATATGATGGCTCGCCAATGAAAGTTTTTCTTATGTGCTCTGCTTCGTAAAATAACCGAAAAGATTGTTCAGACACGATCTCGCTCTGAGCTCTTTGTTTTGTTTTGGATCGGTTTTGGTCAAGAGCTTTTCATTAACTCATTTTTTCCAGATTTGACAAGCCCCTATAACTGTAAATTATCCGCTATATTCTTTTGATCATAAGTGTTAACTGACGCAGTTGCTTTCTCGATATACACGACATAGTATTTCCTGATTAACCGCACCCTAGTGGTGGACACAAAAGTCTTTCTACTTTAAAAATGGTATAACGGGCGGTAGAGCAAGCGGTAGGACGGTGAGCGAAACAGACGTTGAACAAAGCTAATATACTATAGTACGTAGGTATGCAGTACACAAGTTTTGACTGATCGTACTGTTTATCCAACAAGAATAGACGGTAAATCCAGGTCTCCATTCAAGGAATCTATCCTTGTCCACGTTCTTCATAATAAAGTCGATCGATATCGAAATCAGAAGTAACAGCGCAGCAGTCAGCCACACGAAGAGATGGCGTTTCCTGACGTTAACCTTCAATCTGCCGTATTCCTTGATCGCTTGCCACGAATTAAAGTTTATAATTAGGAGCCAGAGGAATGTACACATGACTGCATAGTAGCTAATGCAAGCTGAAAGGATTCCGTTTAAAATTTGTGTATTGCTCGAACATTCGAGAGTTTCAAACTTACCAAATATGAAGCAGACCTCAACTTTCATATAATTCCGGAGAAAAGTCTCAATGCGGAGTAAGGAGAAGCTTAATGTTAGACTGATGAAGAAACATATGCTGAATTGCTTGTGGGGAGAGCGAAAGTCCGGCATGCAAAAGTGGGCAGCAATAGTGAGGATCATGAAGACTACGGACACTATTTGAACTGTAACGGATTACACTGATATAAATATCCTAGCTGGAAATCAGTAACTGTTTTCTTACTATACGCATCGGTGTTGTCCTGTGGTTTATTGCACTGATGAGGCAGTAGTCTATACTGACCACCCTTTGATTTATGTGGCTGCATGCAATAATGTTGTTTCCCAAAATCTCTACCATCAAATTTTCTATACAAACGTCCATTCTGATAAAAAACAAAAAAAATTTATATATGTACATAGATTTATCAATAAGCGATATTTCAACCTCATATAATATCCATCCCTCATTGGGATTAGTGTACGGATCGAGAGTAAAATGACTTTCGCACGGTATACCGAAAAGTTGCACTGCAAACTCCTTTACAATATCTATCTCTGCCTCAGTGCCGTTGTGGAACGTGACGTTCACGAGAGGATTGTAATTTGGAATATTACCCACGCATTCTCGCTTTTCCTTGACCAGCGTCTTTTGGGGCTCACAGCAAAATCGAACACAGGACATTAGCTGACATACACATCCCCGTGTGTGTTCGGGAATCAGTTCAAATGTACCGTCAAACATGATCTGATAGTTGTATTTCCCTGTTTTACCCTTCGGTATTTTAATGTGCTTAAACACATACGACCCGTCCGCTAGTTGTGTGCTATTTGACAGATCCACTGTATCGAAATAATCACAGCCGGGAATATCGCCTGATATCTCAGCGATTATAACGCTGAGCACAATTAGAACAAATCTCATTCTCTGAAATGAGCAATCAAATGAACACTTTATCTCTTGGAAAACAATGAA